AAAATATATTTTTTAACAATTCAAATCTTGGATAACCACCAAATCGAGCAATATGTCAGAAAGAAAATTTTATTAGAAGATATTTTTTTATTTTAGTTTTCTTTGTATTATTATTACCCCTAAATATAGATTGTATTAAAGTGTTCCTCACTTGTCTTAATTTAAGTAGTTTCTAAAAAAGAGTCGATATGACTCTACCTAAAACTGATCCCTAAGGTTCATTATGTGCTGGAGTGAGATTTATACATCTAAAAATTTTCAAGTTATTTTTCATATTATCATACATTATAGATTAGTAAGGTATCATAATCCTCACCTATGATAGGTTACAAATTAAAAAAAGTTCAATATAAGTGGGAATCTTTCACTAGCTATTGTGGAGGTATTCACCCCACGAGAGCGCAAATACTTTATTTTTTAAAAAGGTAAGAGCCTAGGTATAGAGTTCATATTTGTAATGCACATGTGATTATGTTCAAAAGAACATGTTAACATTTTATAGCATTACAACCTTTTAAGAACAATATATAAAAAAATAATAAAAACATAAAATAAATGACATAATCAAAATACAAATGTGATGCAGAACTTTTAAGAAAATCAAAATTAAAGAAATCAAAGTTAAATATTAATTAATACCATTAAATCAAAACTTAGGATAACATATGATCAATCTTAGCTTGACTCTAAAAAATCATCTCCAACAAAGTCACCAAGCTATCTAATGATTTTGAAAGTGTTAGATGAATTTTTTTTTTAATTTAAAAGAAGAAGTCGTCACTAATCTTTTTTAATTAGTTGTGATTGACCACCTAAAAACTTATCATTTTAATAAAAATTTTAAATTAATTAAAACTTATTAAAAAAATTTTTGGTCTGTAAAAATAAAATCAGGTTTGAGAATGCGGTTATGTGTTACGAAAGATTAGTATCCCATAGTGCCCATTTTAAAAATGATACCTATTAATCAAGTGTTATCCTTTAGTATTGATAAAAAATGACCTTAATTTTAATATTTAAAATAATTTTTTAATTTCATATTTTTTATAATTAAAAAAACATTTTATTTAGAAATAAAAGGAAAGTCTTTAGTTTCAAAACATTTCTTAAATTCCCCAATGTTTAGGTGAAATTTCAAAAAATATTCCTCCACTTGAAACTTTTATAATAATCCTCAAAATTTAGCTTAATATTCTTTTATAATAATTATTATTGAGAAACCTTCTAATATCTTGATAGAATCCTAATAATTATTTTTACTTAAGAGTATTAATTTTTATTTTTAATAAAAAAAAATTTTCAAAGTCACTATTTATTGATTTATGTTTTTTGGCAATAATAACATGTAAGTGATGAAACATAAAACAAATGAATGATACAAGCACAAATTAAAAAATACGAAAGACTAGTTTAATTTATCTTATAAATCTTTGATTTTATCTCGTCATTGTTTTCCTTATTGTTTTTTTAAATAGTGATAAAATAAATTTTATTTATTTTTTTCTAAAAAAATTTCTTTAATTCTTTAATATCTATGTAGAATTTAAGAAAATTAGCCATTCATTTAAAAGGTTCTCATAATTAATTTTCCAAATAAAGATAATATTTCTTGGTAAAAAAATAATTTGAATTCTCTCCAATATCTAAATAGGGACTTCAAATTTTTTTTTACAAAGAGATATTATCTTGTTTTATTTCTAGATTTTTTAAAAGATTATTTTGAAATTTCAAATTATTTTTTAAAATTTATACAACTTTGTATCAATCTCCATCATCCACAAATAAATTTATTTTTAAGACTAAATTGCATGTGAAAATAAATAAATAGGTAATAAATTAATAAACAAAGAGAAAAATAGAATTAAAAATTTACCTAAAAAGGGTTGGATTAAACTCACAATAGAGCCCAAGGCAAAGCTAGTGGATTAACTGGGTATAGTTCTGATGGGCTTAAAATCTAAGATGCGCCAGGTCGGCTCGAGTCGGGTCAGGTCAAGTCGATTTAGGTTTGTTCTGACCTAGTTTTTTCTTTCTCATTTTTTATCTTTTCTTTTCTTTCCTTTTTCTTTTCCTTTTACTTTCCTCTCCATTCTTATTCCCTCCCGCTCTCTCTACCCAGAGCCCATCTTTAAGCCGATTTTTGGTTGCTGCTTTGGTCGCTGGCACTAGTCGTTGTTGGTAAGTCTCCTCCTCTTCCCAAGTTTTCACCAAATGTCATTCTCAACGCCCTCATCATGGATCCAAGCTTGGATTTCTAATAATCATCCCCTAAAGTCCTAGATCTAAGATTAAAGCCCCGAGGTTTCAAACTATCAAAAATCTTTCCTACGCCGAGCTCTCCAAAACTAAAGTATGTCCCTCTCCTTCCCTTGATTTACCTTTTCACCGTTCAAGTGTCCGAAACTACCTCATCGTCGTGAGCCACTGCTAGCGCCACAAGTCTTCATCACTATTTCAACCCCGAGCTGACCTTCCTCTCTCCTTTGCTAACTCGAACAAAGTCCTCCCAAAATACCTCTGATCTCTAAAAATTTCGTATACCCAAGAGATTCAGCGTCTGCATTTTTGTGTGTTTTTTTTTATTTGATTTTTGCGTGGTTGGGTTCCTCGTCTGGTGAAGACTCTGGTTGTTGTATTTTTGGTGGTCTCAATTTTTCAGGTTGGGTTTATTTGGGGTGTTAAACTATCAGGGGTGCTTGTGGTAGTGATTTGAAATGGGGTTTCGGTAGTGGGAAATTGAGATGTTATTTGGTGGTGATTGATGTTTCGGAAATGGATTTTCGATGATGGATGAGCAGTTTAGGCTGGGGAGGTTAATGGGGGATGGTTTCAGGTTTGATGGAGATGATGGTGTAGGCTTGGTTTCGGTTGAGGTGTTAGTTGTTGCCGGTGATTGTATAGGTGGGATGTGAAAATGGTGAGGATGGGATCGTGTTTGGTCATTGAAGGGAGAGGGTAGGGCTCTTAGTTCTAGCTGGAGCTTGTGGTGATTTTTGGTCTGTGTCTTCCTCCTCCATGAACCCTCTTTTACTGGTCAGTTGTGGTATTTTTATTGACAAAATCACTGCTTCATGCTACCATTAGGATCAAGAAAGTGGATTTGGGGTCTAAAAATGTAATCGAGGTTTTTCGATTATTGTGGTACTGGAAGCAGAAATGTTGTTTCTTGGGTTTTGAATTGCTGGCCACTTTTAGATCATCAAGCTCTTGATCAAGTTGTGCTAGAGGCGCTTGTGTAAATTTTAGGAGTTAAAAAGTGAGAGCTGTAATTGAGATAGCAGTTTGGAGGAAGGGTTCCGGCATTTGGGGAGGGCAGGCTGCCATTGTAGCCAACCCTCTCCCACTTTTTCGGTAAAATTTTTTAATTAATTTAATTAATTCTAATAAAATGAAGTTGGGCTTTAAAATATAATTTGATATCAGAATTGGATTTTAGAATTGGATTTTGGATTTTTATTGGGATTTTAAGCCCAAGTGACTAACTGTTGAATCAATCAAAAATTGTGAATTGAACTTTGGTCGCGCAAAATGATTCAAAAACATTAATCCGAAACGAACTCAAACTAGTTTAATCCAATTAGAACGTTTAACTTGGCTCCAAGCAAAACTTTTAAATCAAACATAAAAATCAAACGAAATCAAGTCATTTCGAACAAAATTAAGTGTTTATACCCATTTTAAATCAACAAAAAATTTCACACACTTGAATCTATTCGATAGAATGTATTTCAATTTATTGATATTAATTAGCAAAAAAATAATTATTATCCAAGTCAAATTGTGTTTAAGCTAGGCTTAAACACGGTCTTAACAGTTCATGTACTTGTCCACACCTGACTCGACCTAAACATTTCAACCTCAAGTCTCGTACAAGCCTACTGAACGATGACAAGTCTGTCCAAGAAAGCTTATGCTAATCTGAATAAAAAAAAATTAATTTATTTTTTTATTAAAAATAGATATCTCCATTTAAATAAAAAAAAATACTTATATCAAATGTACATCACCTTCGAATTGAAGATTAAGAAAACTCCAAAACAAGTCATCAATAATAAAATCTCAAGAAAATATAAATCAATTGCAAAAACAAATCAATCTATGAGTTTTTTTTTGAATTTGAATTTGAATGCAAACAGAAGATCAAAAATTACTAAGCATATGGGAATACAAATGGGATAGAAATGAAGAAATTGCTTCAATTGAATCCTTCAAAGCAAAGTAAGGAGAAGCAAAGTGGGATACAGGTTCAAACTTCAATTCCTAAACTTTGGATCTAATATTTGAATCTTAACCTTTGCAAGTGTTGATTCTTTTATAATATATTTTTTAATTAAAAATTTAAGTTAATATCCATGTGACAGGTCAGGTAAGTAGACAAGAACTTTCGAATATTATTGTCAGGACTTAATAAAAAATTTTTTTGAAGAAAAAAAGTTATTTTTTAATTTTAATTTAATATATATATTTTATATATATTTAATTTTATATTTTTATTTAAAATAATATTTTATTAATTTCGGGTCGGATTTGATTTTATACAATATCGGGTCGGATCGAGTTCGGATATTAAAAATAAAAAAATTATCGGGCACGGATTCGGGTATTGTATACTTAAAATCAGGTCGGGTTCGGGGCGAGCAAAAACCCACCCCGACCCGTTGCCATCCCTAGTTACGACATGAAATTATGTCAATACTTAAAAAAATTTAGTTGAAAGGACTAAAATTAAAGGTTAGATATTGTAATAAAGTAATATATAAATTAAAATTAAAATAAAAAAAATTAAGAACCGTCGTTGAATTCTATTTTAAATTAAACTTGAATATAAAAATTAAAATTTAATCTAACTCAAACGAACATAGAATTTCGAATAAAAAATTTTGAATAAAACTCGTATTTCAGCATATGAATCCGGCTCACTCGATTTCAACCCAAAGGTCAGACATAGCCACGTTGAAATGCAATTAGTCGGTGATTTGGGGGGAGCTCGACCTAGACGCCAAACTAAACCGCACCTGTCTCGACATGGTCTAGTGGGCAGTGGCCACTAGGCCCACCACCTCCATTCCACCAAAATTTCAAACCCCACAGCCCACTCATTTACAAAGTCCAATCAATGAGTAAAGAGAATCAGAATAATAAAATCCCCGTCTTAAGCTTCCGCTAATCACAAAGACAATTATCATTTCCTGGAAACGCTGCCTCACATTTTGTCTTTCTTTTTGTTTCTTATCAATTCTTTTTTTAAAGAATCATTTTCTGTTCCATCTATACTCAATAGTAGATTAATCAGATCGGAAAAACTGGGTGGCGGGGGAGGGGAAGGTGAATATGGCAACGGCGTCGTTTAACAAGATCGAAAGGGCCCATCAGATGTATAGAGAAGGGAGTTACGAGGAAGCGCTGGCTTACTACACGGAGGCGCTGGCGGTTGCCAAAACGAAGCCTCAAAAAATCGCTCTGCACAGTAACAGAGCTGCTTGTTACTTGAAATTACATCATTTCAAAAAGGTTTCTCTTTCTCTCTCTTTTTCTTTTTTCTTTTATTATTATTCCTTTAAATTAACTTTGATTTTACTTTTTTTTAAGAGTAGTTTTTAGTAATTATCTAGCTTCAGATTGGATTTTACTGACTTTTGGAATATCAAAAAAGTTTATTTTTACTGTTTTATTCGACATTCTTTTGGGTTTAATATAATATTTTCATGGACGAAATTGGTCTTATGAGAGTTTACTTAATCTTTTTGATTGACGAATATGAAAATAGTAAAGCAAATTTGAATTTTTCTCTTTATTTTATTTGGGATATTATGTATTCTATTTTCAATGTTTTTGAATGGATATTCTTTTCCCTTTTTTAAAGGAAAAAAGATTTTTTTTTTTTTTTTTAGTAGAAAGTGAAAATTTCTTTCACTTTGTCAACTGTTGTTTGCGAACAGTAACCTGTCTGTTAGTCTATTGGTTGGTAAAGGATTGAACTCTTAGTTTCAGTGATCACGGATCAATTCCTGGCGTCTAAGAATAGAATTATTTAATGATTTTAATGTTAGTAAAGTTTAGAAATTTATTTAATTCATAATAAAATTATTTAATGACTTTGAGATTTAGAATAGAGGGAAAAAAAAAAGGGACGAAACAGTGATGTAGATAACAAGGGTTCCTTGTTTGATTAGATTATCTCAGTAGAAATGATGTTGAAGCTATTCATTTAAAAATTCAGGATTCTAATTTGTGACGAAATTTCTTATTTAACATAGATAGTTTTGTTTTCACTCTCGATTCTAGTGAGAATCATCATATGTTCCTTTTTAAGCAATCAAAATAGGTATGATTCAATAGCCTATATGATGATGCAAGATTCAAATCTGAACAATAAGAAGTATGATGTTGTATTTTACAACTTTTATTAGTGGTTTTGACGTTTGATGAAGGTTATGCATAACCTGCACACGTACACAGACTCACTTTCCTGCATCTATGCATTTGCCCCGCGCGCTCTCACACACACATGCGCACACGCTCTATAGAAAGTTTTAAAATTTTTTTTGGATATCCCAAAAAATGTCTGGAACAGCAGCAACAATAACAAATTTCCCAACATGTGAAATTGGCTCTGTGGATTAAAGTTTTACCATTATCCTCTACTTGGGATCATATCTTGAGTAAATTCTGTTTGCTTCTACGTTTTTCTTTTATCCATGTGGCATCTTAGTGTGCTTTTGTTATTCATGGAATGCATAAAAACCGGGTTATCCATTTTACTTTAATGAATGGAAACTGTTGTCTGCAAACTGATGTTGTTACTTCAACCAGGCAGCACAAGAATGTACCTCAGTTCTTGAGCTTGACCATAAGCACACTGGAGCTTTGATGTTGCGAGCACAAACACTAGTCACACTAAAGGAGTACAATTCAGCCCTCTTTGATGTCAACCAGCTCATAGAGTTGAATCCCTCTTCAGAAGTTTATCATAATCTTCAGGCTCGCTTGAGGACACAAGTGGTATATTCTCTTGTCTCTATTAGGCTGTAGATCTTTCTCTACTATTTTACATGGTGTCTTGATTGTTAAAGGAGTACTTTGTCTTTTTTATTTCACATAGACTTTATGATTGTCTGCTGTTGACTCATACAAAATCCTTTGTTTGTTCATGGGCATTGGGAAAGCTATTACCACAAGTCCACCATTGGTTCCAATAGTTCTGTCTTAAGCTGAATTTTACTTGATCTTCTGGATGTCAGTAAGAAACTGGATTTTGTTTTCTTTGCTTAAGTAAAGGCACTTGCTCCAATACCTGAATCTGAAGCAGAGTTGGAAGAAGAGGAAGAACATGGGCAACCCTGTACAATGGAGAAAGAAGTAGAACAAGATAACAAAAAAAAAGACATAGTAGTGCCAGCTGTTCGGAAAGATCTAAATGCTGAGCTTAATGAGAATCCGGAAAAAGCAGGAATGATTGCCTCTGAGAAACCTGATGTCAAAGAATCTCCTGAGCACAAAACAGATTCTAAGAATGTGCCTGAAATAAATCCTGGAGTTGCTGCTCCTCAAGAACTGAATAACAAGGACTCTAAAGGATGTCTAGGGATCCCTAAACCCAAAGGACATTCAGGTCTGAAGAATGTGCCTCAAAGAATTGGAGTTGCTGCTCCTTTAGAACAGGGCATCAAAGATTCCAAGGGATGGCAGGCGATCCCTAAGCCAAAGGGACACTCAGCTCTGGACTATGCACGGTGGGACAGAGTTGAAGATGACTCTAGTGAAGATGATGATGACGACGATGATGAGAGTCTCAGCCTCAGTATCGATTCCGGCTAAGAACTGTTGGCATGCGACCAGTGAAGTGAAATGGGATGAAGTAAAAATTATAATGATGTGAATAGCGTTTCTGATTCCTAGAATCTTCACAAATAGTCTCCTATGTTGAGGAAAGTGTAGTTTGAGAAGCTGTGTTTGATCTATCATGTTTAAACATCCAAAGCCAGGAGCATCGTATTTTACAGTTGCCTTCCTGGTTTGAATTCCTATCAAACTGCCATTCAAAAATTTCAGGCTGCCTTCAATATTTTGGACACAGCTGCACACATTAACAGATGATCCTCATCGATTTCAGAGTCAGGTAATCATTATTTCTGGGCATGTAATTTGTCTGCCTCTTGAAGTAAACATCAAAGTCTGACTCTCTTCTGATTGCTTAAACTGCATCAAGGGAGATGAGAACTTTGAATCTGTGAGCTTGTTTGCATTGGAGGAACAATTTTATACACCAATAATCTCTAGTTTTCTGGAAATTAATACATAATTTTTATTCTGTTTATTTTGTTTATTTATTACTATATATTGAATTCTTGGTTATATTTTATATATTATCTTCTTCAGGTCAAGTCAATAATGACTGAACAGGGTGTAATCGTTGTTGTTGATTTGAATAAAATTTTTTGATTTCCAGATATCGTTTGGAAATGGGTTTTATGATGGTCTTCTTCGCATCAAGCATTAACTCAAATGACATGTATGTTGGATAGATTCTCGGAAGTTAGGGGTTCGAAAGGATTTAGGTACGAAATATCTTTTTTATACGACAGATTCTCTGAAGTTAGAGGTTAGAAAGGACTTAGGTGCAAAATATTTTTTTCATGTAAGTAGATAGAAGTTGGAGTTAAAGATAAATTAAAAATTAAAAAAATAATTATTTTTTAGCATAAAAGAAGAGTACTACTTGAATTTAAGATTTGTATTAAAATCTCATTTTACTCTTACCGCCTGCGTTGAGCTTGATCAGTGACATCCGAAAGTAACACTTGCATGTGCTTATATATTAAGGGCAAAAAACTGATGTCCAAATTAAGCTTTTGACGTTCAATGTATCGCGGTTTTGACGTGAATCAGATGCTCTAAGACAAGTTGGTTATGTATATTTCATTAAAAACTAGCGCAAAACTTACTCAATTAATGCTGGGGAAATTTTAGTTGATTGCTTGTGTTATATGTTTTTATTAGGAGTATAATTAAATCGAGTCAAATTGATATAATGAAAAGCTCGAATTCGATTGAAAATTTATTATTCAAAATTTGATTTGAATTCAATTGAATTTGAATTTTTAAACTCGAGTTTGATTCGAGATAATTAGATTCATTTATTAAATAAAAAATAAGCTTAACTCTTACGTTCGATTTTAAATTTAATTATTTATGTTTAAATTCGAATTTAATCTCAAATTCATATATATAAGAGTAAAAAAATAATTTTTTAATTAAAATAATTAAAATATATTAAAATATAAAAATTCGATTAAATTTGTGAGTTGATTGAATTAAAAATTACGATATTTGAACTCGATAAATCGAAGAGTTTGAGTTTGGTTTGACAATGATTAACTCGGATTCAAATTTATCTTAATTAAATTCAAGTGATTTGTTAATATTAATATATAATTTACATTCCTAATTTTTATATTATTATACAAAAATTGGTAGTATTGGAATTCTTGCCCTTGAAAATATTTGATGAATATTGTGCAATCTCTAATAAGGTCAAACAATTTTCTTTCAACCCTCTAATCCATGCTATAAACTTATTATTTCATTTTTAATCGTGTAAATTTTTTATTATAATCTTGCAATTATCATTTTTATTATAAAAATATTTTATAATTACTCAACTACAATAAAAAAAAATTGTGCCTTTAAAGTTGCCCATAGAGGATTAGGTCGTAATAAATTTGAAAACATTTTTAATTGTATCATAAAAAAAAATGCAAGAATCTATAACTTATAAGAGTCGAGTTTTATATAATATTTTAATTAATTTTACATAATTTATGATAACGATTGGCTAATTATAGTTAAATACTTATATGAAATATGTTTTTTTTTTTTTTAATATTTTTTGTTTGTAAGAAAATTAATTAACAACTTTTCTTTAAAATTCCACAATTTTAATATAACAATTTTTAGAAGATGAAGTGTTTTTTTTTAAGAAAAAAATCTTGTCAAATTAAATATGGATATCTAAGTTGAGAAGGATGATGTTCAACATAATCTTTTTGTCTTTTTGGTACAAAAAATATAAAAATAGCAAAAAAAAATTGTAAGTCCTGTGAATTGAATTTTTAAATTTATTAATACGAATTATCTGATCTAAATTACGATTTTAAATTCAACTTTAACTTATGTAGCATCATTATAATTCATGTAACATGTATTTTGTGTGGAGGAAAGTTGTCAATGCAAAGGCTTTGCTATGATATTCTTCAATTTCAGCCTCCATATATTAGTGATGCATATCCTAGAAGACTTTAAAATTTAGCTTAATACCTTTCAAGATACTTTGATTGCCAATATTTCGAAGTGATCTTAAAGAAGCAAAAGTATAAAGCAAAAGGAGATTTTCTTTCTTTTCTTTCTTTCAAACTCACTATTTAAGTCTCTGGATATCATTTCACAATTATATCTTCACAGATTCTTACAAATGTTTGTTTCATTGTCTGGTTGTGAACTTGCATATATTCATGTTTATATAGATATATCTCAACAATATGAATGGCATCTGGTTTCCTGCATTTTTGTATGCTACCAATCAAAAGCAGGAGGGGGATTCTTTTAGTGAGCCCACCTTCTTCATTGCTAACTTTGTTCTCCGTGCTCGCTTTTACTGAAAAGACACATGCACGCATGCACTAACATGTCCCAAATTCCCCATCGAAGGTGATGAGATGCTTTTATGCTTATAAGGTCTATTTTACCCATTGTAGTTTTTTTTTTTTTTTTTTAAATTTTGATTAATTAATTGAAGAAAATTGATCACAAAATATAAAACTTATCGGTGGTGCCAAAGTTATTAAATTTCTTTATTTAGGTAGATTTATCTATTTTAATAAGAAAATTCATTTATTAAAAGTTATTTTTTTTTATAGAAATGATAATATTATTAATAGCTATAAAACATATATAAGAGGAACAATGCAAAACAGGCGCTAAGCCATCCCCCGATATTTAATCAAAATAAAGAAACAGTAATCCTAAACTAAAAAAATTAGATCTTGAAATGAAATTTCTGGAAATATATTCTAAATGGCTTTAAAATAATTTAAATTATACAAATCTTGATTAGACATTTGGAAGTTACGAATTCGATAAGATTTATATGCACGTATTCTTCTAAGGGGAGTTAAGTATAGACTAAGGGATTAAAGATTGATTTAAAATTAAAAACAAGATTAAAATAATAAAAAAATTCATTGAAATTTATAACTCTCTTTATATAAATATTTATATTTTTATTACATTCAAATAAATTTTTAATTTTTAATTTGCACCTAAATAAATTTTTAACCTTTAATTTATATGGAAATAAACTTTTAAAATTTTAATTTGTACCTAAATAAGTCATAACATAGATCATTCTTTCACTTGAAATAAAAGTTTATTTGGATATAAATAAAAGTACAAGAATTTATTTGAATATAATAAAAATATGGAGGTTTATTTTAAAAAAATGAAATAGTCTAGGAGGTTTTTTTTCGGTATTTTAGCAAAACAAAAAAAAAAAAAACTATAATCTTTGATTTTGTTTGAGTTTGAATGGATGATAATCATCTTTAATATTCCAAGCAAATTATTGGGCGTTAGGAAGTATTTAGTGGTCTTCTAGTTTGAACATATCTTTTTCATTAAGATCGGGGAAGGAGGCAAAGGTTGATTGCAACAAAGCCAGTGAAGGTGTAGATGAAAAGCATGACGAATCATTGAATAAGAATCTCTCAGCTTGCTAAGAGAAACAAAACAAATGTACTATACATACAACACATAATACTTTCTAAAATAAACTAAAAGAAAAAAAAAGTGCTGTAGTGATCTTATGTTAACAAAATCAGCTAAGATGCCACTTTGAGCAACTTGCACCAACGAGTATGTTGGAACACACACACGTACATACATATATATATATATTTATATAAAAGAGGGATCTATTTATATTAGTGTAAGAAATACACTTTTTTTTTAATCTTTGAAACAAAAATAGTTAATTATAAGTGTTATGAATTTAATTTTTATTCAAATATTAAAAAAATATGTAACTTTTATATTAGTATAAGTGGATTTTTACTCTCTCTCTTTCTATACATATATATATATATATATATATAAACAAAAGAAAGATTATATATAGGGAATTATCATGTCATTTGAGATGTAAGCTGATATTGAGGATGTAAGCTTATATCCCAAATTGTCATCCTTAAAAATCCATTTCAATCATCTCCACCTTTCTTAATAGCTATTTAAGATTTTTTTCTTATAAAAATATCTGAAAAAGACTTAAGTGAATTTTTAATAGCGAATTTGTGAAATTTTTATTAAAAATAATTAAATGAAAATTAAAAAGAAAATTTTCAATCGATAAAATTAAAGATCTTATTATATATATCAATTGTATAAAATTTAAAAAGATTTTAATAAACTTTGATTTTTTTTAGATATGCTGTTTGACTAAAAATTTGATAGAGTTTTCACCATTGAATAAATATTGATTAAAATTTGACTATAAATGTAATTTTTAATAATTATTTGTACATATTATTAATCTAACATTATTGTAACGATAATATTGTTTTGATATTTGTGAACCCAATTAGTTTATATAATCACCTTTAAGAGATAGTATATAATAGGTTTGGCAATCCATTTCCTTATTCATAAATTACGATATCTTTTATACTAAAAAGAAATTCAATATTTATGAAAAACATTATTTCAAGAGTAAAATCTTAAAATGTACTAAAACGATATAAAAGATTACATCTTAAAATCGATCTAAAATAAGATTAAACTCAAATAAAATTTAAAAATACTTTTATTATATTATAAAAAAATTATACAAATGAGTTAAACTTAATTGTTTCATGCAGTCACCATTAAAAAATGAGATTTAGTAGGTTTATATCCCAACATTTAAATCTATTTTCTCATCTTTAGCTTACAACGTCCTTTATAAAAAATAAAAAATAAATATAAATATTTTGAAGTTATTGTATTAATGAAAAATATGGATTTGTATACGTTCTTGAATGACAATTTTTAAGTAGGCATCAAATATTTATTACTTGTTGAACCAATGATCCAAACCTATATTGCTAATTAAGAAAATGTAGAATCTAAGCTTGCTCTTATAATTTGCATTATTATGCACGGTTTAATGGAAAAATAAAATAAGGAAAGCTAGGAATCATGTTGAACTAGATACCTTTTTTGTTTGTGTCGAGCTCCCAAGTGAGGGTCAAAACCCTGAAATCATAAAAAAGAAAAGAGCAGTTAAGAGCAAAGGTATGGAGTGTTTCTTGCATTTGCATTCTGACGCTTAAGTTAGAGATCGGTATGAAGGAAGTCGGAAGGAAAGAAAAGTAAGAATTTATTAGTAGAGTGGAAATGAAATTATAGTAC